CTAAGGCTGGGCCTTCAAGACATCAGGACTGGTCAGGTGTGGTGGTATGCGCTTGTAATCTCAGCACTTGGGAGGCCGAGGCAGAAGGACTGAGAGTTTGAGGTTAGTGTTGGGTACATAGTCAGACCCTGTCTCAAAACAACAAACAAACAAACAAAAGATAAGGATTTTAAGGTGGAGAGTGTCCAGAGCCACCATCCTGAGAGGGCAACTATTTCTACCAAAAGGGCAAATCCAGCTGATGGAATGGCTCAAGTAGTAAGAGTGTCTGCCAAGCAAGCATGAGGTCCTGAGTTGAAACCCCAGCACCACCAAAATGGTAAATCCTACTCAGGCCTTCAGTGCATACTCAAAATCAATTAATCATGACACTTTTAAACTTCAGAGTGACAGAGGCTGTCTTGATTCCAGCCAGCTACTAGCTGTAAGGGATCTTGGAGAATCTTGGTTTCAAGAGCATTGTCGTCCTTAGCCCTGGACACTGTACTCCTTTTTCTCTAGCCATGCCATTCTGTTTAGTGAGAAGTCCTCAAAACCAAGATCCAAGCCTCTTTTCAGGTCACGCTCTGATAACTGGGAATCCAGAATACTTTGTTCAAATGGCCTGATGCCTGCATGGGTCTTTTCCCTGGGAACATCCTTCTGACAGTAGACACTGACTCCTGTATCGGTATTTTTAGATTTGAGGAGTAGCCAAAAGGTAACTATTGAGGTTGGCTGGGGACCATTCTTGGACACATAGACTAATGTGCCTAGATGCACACATGCAAGGACTTTTGCACTCAGGATTGTGCTGGGAGGTGGTATACCACTAGGGGATTTGGTCCCTGAAAATCTTAGGAGCCAGCCTGCCCTTGAGTGTGGCACTGAAAGAAGACCTGGTGATGTCACTCAATTCCAAGTCCTGGCCATTACTGGCACTACTGTTATTTACTCCCTTCTCCCCTGACCGCTCAAGGAAGCATGGGTGTCAGGGTAGGCTGTACTGGAGGAAGAGGCAGAGATCCAGCATCAGCGGTGTTGCTTGCTTTCTTGCAAATGTGAACACCTACACACAGAAGAGCGGGGAGCATGAATTTGAATGTACCAATGAGTGTTTGGGTGACTGTGAGCAAGTAAAGTGAGCAAGCAAGGGAGTGTGGAAGAGAAGAGCAGGGTGGGTGACCCCGCAAAAACGAGTGTGTATACGAAGGAGAAGAAGATATACGTGAACATGTGCGTGGAGTGAAGAAGGCGTCCACTAATGTGGTGACTAAGGGCCTGGGAAAAGGACAGAGAATGCAGAGGGAGGGGAGTGTGCCTTCTGATCTTTGTGCATGTGCGGGAAATGCGGGCGCAGTCATGGCAGAGACACAAAAAGGGAACCAGAGAGCTGGTGAGTCTGTCCATCCCCAGGAAGCATGTATGGTGGAAGCTGGTGGATGGAACAGCAGAGCTGAGAGTTGAGTATGCGAGAGGAAGGAGACATGCAGGTGTGTGTCCTTCGGTGGTGTGTGTCTGCCCCCACAGGGCCCTGGGAAGCAGAGGCAGGCCACGTGCCTGGGTGACTGTGTGGGTATGTCATGTGTGTACCTGAGCATGTGGCTGCGCCAAGTAAGAACAAACAGGACCGTGTGAGCACACGTGCAAGTGCCCTGGGTGTGTGTGTGTGTGTGATCCAGCAAGGTTGCCCTGGGGCAGCTGTGAGCTTCCCGGGGGTGCTGGAGATGACTGAGGATGTCTTTACTCCAGGAAACTCATTCTGAGAGGACTATATGATCTGTCTGGTGCTGGCTCAGGTCCAGGTGACCACGAATGGCAGTTTTGGCCAGGTTATCTTGCCCAGAGATGTGTGTGGGAATGAATGAGTCACCTAAGCACGGATGGCCCGCACTCTACCTGTGTCTTGCCTAGCAGAGAAGACAGTAGAGAGGGGGAGAGAGTACTCAGGCCTGTACTTTTACACCGTTATTATTCTGCAATTGTTTACAGTGTCCATGGGCTCTTTATAAAGGTCTAGCACCCTAATTCTCTTGACCTGTATACCTCCATTTCTTTTATATCCAGGGTGCAGTTTAGGTTAGTGACTGACCTATGTTCGTGCCACAAATGTTTGTGGAGGTCTACTACACACCAGATTCAGGTCCACATATTTACAATGCCAAAACAACTCTCAGTCCTTTCCCATCCCCCTGTACTTGGCTTTCGTTTTCTCTACTGCACTTACCAGTCCTTGCCATATTTTGTTCTCTTTGTTTTACTTACCAACTATCTTTCTCTTAATAGCAAACGTCAATACAGCACGTGCTGCTGGTTAAGCCCTGTTAGAAGCTCTCTGAATCTTCCAAGAGTTCTATACAGTAATGATTATTATTCTTGTCATTTCATAGAGGAGAGACTTAGAGAGGTGCCCAGGATCATTCCATTAAGTGGTAGAGCCCAGCTCTTACCCAGCACATAACACTGTCCTGTGAGGGTGGGACATTTTCTCAGTTTGGTTTGCCATTTAATTTCCGGTGTTTTGAACAGTGCCCAGCACACATGGTGCTCAGTTAACAGTGGATGAATGAAGAAATGAATGAATAAATTTTGGGCATGGAGGACATGGAGAGGAAACAGAGAGGTAGTTGACCTGAGAGATTGTAGTCCCATAGAGGCAGCAGGTAAGTATTGTAATGCCACATCAGGATGGCCCTGGAGGAGTATACAACTTGCCTGGCCCCTGACAGACAGGGCTTTCTAAAGGAAGGACACAGACAGGGACAGACACAGTGACATAGCCCACTTCATCCAAACTCCTCCCTGGGGACAAACACACTTTAATTCTGCCTCAGTCTACAGGGAGCCAGCAGATGGTACTAGTTCCATGGAGTCAATGGAAGCAGAACAGGGAAGTGGTCAGGACACAGGCTCTGGAGCTTGGCTAAACTGAATCCTTCCTCTACCAAACACCAGTCAAGCAATCCTGGGCAGATAGCCTGACCTCCCTGGGCTTTGTCCTCTCATCTATAAGATGGGGCAGCAAATGATACCAACTTCCTGGGTATTGCATAAGGCAGGCGATGAGCCAGCTTCAATGGAGATGACTCATATTCCTCTTCTATTCTACATTGTTTGCTGGCTTTGGGGGAGGGACGGGAAGGACAGTTAGAATTAAGCACATTATGCTTCTTACAGTAACTTACCTGCTGTGGCTTCATCCCATTTTCCAGAATTGGCTCAAAGCAGAATTTGTCCATGAACCTTCATTAAGGCAAGGACTATGTCTGTTTTATCTACTACTGTATCCCTAGCATTTAGTATAGTACTGGAGATATACTAGGTACTCAAAAAAAATTATTAATGAATGAGTGAGTGATTAATCTATTTACTCCCCCAGGGCCTTTGTGAGGATGGCTATTCACTTTTCTGTTGTTTCCATTACAGAAGAAGGACTGGAGGTGCAGCAAGGTTAAGTGGCTTGTCCATAAACATACAGCCTAAAACAGAACAACCAGACTCAAATGCTAAACCGCATGCTCTTTCCTTCACACCATGCTCCTCTCTGGGCTCCTATGCATCACGTCCTACTTTCTATAGATCTTTTTCTGGCCAGTGAGGCCATCCTTGATCGTAGAATCATCTCTGAATTCTATGACTCATATCTGAATCACATAACTGTTTAACAGTTGAAAGGGACTTTGATGTCATCTGGACCTCCCACCCACTGTGGACATTTCCTCTCTAATGCCTATCTTCCCAATACTTGAATGCCTCCAGTGAAGGAATGCTCATTTTCCTCCTCTGGAATCATCAGTCCTATGACTGAACCACTTTGAGAGTCAGAAAGTAAGTTCTGCCTCCCGTGGGCCCACAGAATGCTCTTTCATTTCTGTGTGCTAGGCTTACATCATCATCCTAAGATACACAGAATGGATCTGTTGCCCTCTGCACATGAGGCCTTTCAGATATTCAAACAGCTCTCATATCCCCTCAGAGAATTCTTTCCTTCAAGCTAGCTGCTCTGGTCCCCACAATGACTCCTCTTTGGAGCTGCGTCCATCCCCAACCAGCAAAATAGGCTGCCCACGGTGAGCAATGGCGCCCCTACTGGACAAGAGATGAATTGGACTGACTGGCTCAGGATGCATAAGGACAGGAGCGGGAGCACACTGTGCTGGCTGGGATACAATAATGACTTATTTTGAAGAGTCTTTGCTTCAGAGTCATACCTAGTTGTTTTCAATGTCTATCTTAAATGTCACATGGAGATTCCATTCTAAGGCTCATTACCCATCAACAAGTTTCTGACAAGCTACAGGTTTGGGGGACTTCAAAGTTAGAATGCAAAGCTATTTTTTAACCAAACATTTGGAAGGAGAGATATGAAAAGGTATGTTGTGCTATAGGATTATGGTGACTTATCTTCTCTTTCTTTTTTACTTGCTTTATTTTCTAATATTGCTACAGCGAACATTTGTTATAAGAAAACAAAATGATAAAACCATAAAGAGAAAAAAGTCTATTAACTCTCCCCTCCCTGTTCCTTTCCCTTTATTCCTTGTAAAGCTGTTTATCACAACCTGAGTATGTGGTCTCCAACTGGTGGCCCATGCTGCCACCCTGTGGGCAGGAGTGCCCTGGTTATGTCCCTGTGGAGATGGCCGTGGCCATGTGGCCAACCAGGCTCCAGCAGCTGTGGTCACCTGGTCCAGCAGCAGGTTCACACTCACAGCCAGCTTCTCATCAGGGCTGGCGGGAAGCTCTGCACACTGTCTGCCCACCCTTGCTTCAGGCCACCTTCAGCTGGCTTATGTTTCCTTCTCTTACCTCTCAAAGTCTGCCCAACACATCACTGGTCAGTGGCATGTCCCTCCCAGCCCTGGGCTCTCCAGCCCTTCCCTCTTCTCTCCATCTCCCAGGTGAGGAGAGCAGACACCAGGATTAGAAAAGCAAACCGGCTAACCAGGCTTTACTCCAGCCCCGTGTCAGTGGGGCACTCTCTCCCCTGCTCGGAGCTCTGGGGTGCTGGAGAGACTCACCCGGCAGCCTTTCGCTGCAGCACATGTCCAGGGTCCCTCCCTCGGAGTCATCAGCAGTGTGATTCTCTCTCTCACTCCTGCAGCAGGAGGAAAAACGTGAGATGATGCTACCGAGTGGGATCAAGACAAAACCCTGAGCAGAGATAAAAAGCCTTCTTCTCTCACACTCTGTGCCCCTTAGAGTTACCCCATCTCATCAGGGGGACCTGAGGAAAAGACCAACCTTTCAGGGGGTCAAAACTCAAGAGGCGGGAGCAGGTGTCTTCCAGATAGACTATTCATCACCATCACCATCTTCCTTACCATGGAAGGAGGGCAAAGGTCTTTACAAATTTTACCTCTCTGAGTCCTCATCATGACCCCATGAAACAGGGATCATTAAAAAGGCTGAGAGGTTAAGTAACTTGCCCAAGGTCACACAGCTCATTAGGATAGAGCTGTGTTTGAAATTATGCTCTATGTCTACAGGATCATGTTCTTATTGCTTTGCTGTTTTGCCTCCTAATTCCTGTGGTTTTGAACCATGGGTGAACAAGGGGGGTCTGGGTAACACACAGTTTGCTGTCTGGCTCTCTAAGATGTCCACGTTTCCTATGCTTCTGGCAATGGGAACTCATGTGCAGACGCCATCTTAAGCAATAGCTAGGAACAGCACTAACATTTATATTTTGCAACGTCTAGATGTTCATTTTCTGAGATCAGAAAACTCTCTTTTTAGTCCATCAGAGTACCTTACAGGACTGTTCTGGGGTCTAGCTTTTTCCCTTTACCTAGTAAGCTGTAAAAAGGTTGCTGGAGATCAGCTAGACCCCAGGAAGCATCTGTAGAGCTGATATACCTTGAGGGCAGCCATGCAGCTCACAGGGGTCCCGTCCTCTTGGCAATGGCCTGCAATGCAGGTGCATGCTCCAATGGTCTTAGCTGCCCTTTATGTCTGAACCTTGGAAGTCATGACTGCCATGGCAGATTCGCAACTAGTCATACCACCCATGCTGGATCCATCATCCTCACCCCTGCGTGTTTACAATACTCTTTGGGGGGAGGGGGTCTGGACTGCTGGTGCTGAATTACCATCATGGTCATGCCCTGAGAGAAGGGCTGCAAGCATCTGCTGTGGGGCCTCACAGCTGCTTAGTCCTTCCACGTGACACATACACCAAAACCACCAGATGACCAGGATCCTCCCAACATATGCCATATTCCAGCAAAGCCAGTGGGATACAATTTCTAAAACTAGCAACCAAAAAAAAAAAAAAACCACTCCCCAAACCAAAAAAAACCTTTAACACAGACTCATTAGCACAATTGAGGAGGTCAGCTGCTTTTCTGCTCACCTTTCCTGCAATTCTGCCTCTCTCATTGGTCCTGGGGCCTATTTCATACCCACCTGCAGACTGAAACAATTAAGGCCAAGTTAAGGGTGACTCTTTCTCAGTCTGGTATTTTATTATTTTTTCTCCCTCTAATGTGCAAAGTCTCTGAGAATCTCAAGTCCCAGAGTCTTCCTTTCCTTCAGAGAGAGCTACTACCTTGAAGACAAATGCCTATCTGATGGTCTTCAGCATCCACTCAGGAAGGCCTCCAAAGCCATCTCCTCATGGCCCTGTCCATGTGGTTTATGCAGTGTGTGCAGTGTACAACTTATACACTGGGTGTGGCAGGTTTGAGCTAGAATCAATTCCTCAAAACTCAAATTTATTACCAAACTTCCTTGGAAAAAACACTTTCATGACATCCAACTGCACCTAGACAAAGATAAAAATCCTTTGATATGTTCACTAGATCTTGTGTAATCTGGTCTCATTTATCCCTACAACTTTATCTCATGTCCCTCTCCCCCTTGACCTCTGCACTCCAGTCTCTCTGGACAGGTTCTTTTCTTCACAGTGCTTTTGCTTGCACTTTTCTTTGCCTGGAGAGCTCCTCCAGCTCCACTTCCCATTACTTTTTACCCATAGCACTTGACACAGTTAGGGATTCTATTGTAATTTATGTCATTTCTTAATTGACATCAGACACAACTATTAGACTGTAGACTACAAGAGGGTTGGGATCACCATTCCTGTTTTATTTACCATTGTATCTTCAGAGCCTAGCATTGTGATAGCTTATAGTAGGGTGCTAATGAATAAATACTTGTGAAGAAGTGAACGTTGCTTTGACCTTTTTTTTTCTGTGTGATACAGGAGTTTGAACTCAGTGCCTTGGGCTTGCCAGGCAGGTGCTCTGCCACTTGAGCCTTGCTGCAAACCCTTCCTTGACCTTCTTGAGAAAACATCAGGAACCTCAAACACCACCATCTTCTGAGCTACTTTGGGGGCAGGCCTATTGTTAAGCCATGTGGAATCCCTCCTCCATAGCTGCTTTCCAGAGCAGTCAAAGAACCACAAATCTGGAAGGCTTCTCATTTCACAGAAGAGGAAACTGAGGCAGAAATGGAGACTGACTTGTAGGTACACTGAGGTGGTGGCCCCAAGGATTGGGTTCGAGCACTCCTACCCCAAGCCTCTCAGTCCTGAGCTTGCTCTCTTGACCCTAAGGAGCACTCCAGGTGGAGGGCAGCCCATGAAAGGTAACCAAGGTTTCCAGATAACCTCTGGAAGGGGATCCATGTGTGACTCATACCTGCTTTTACACCTTAAGCTTCCCAAGCCTCCAACAGTGTTCAGAATAGCTCAGTGCTGCAAGCGTGCAACGGACTCTATAAATAAGCTTCCTAGAAAATGACTAATTTCATAATCCGAAAAGCATAAAGAGTAGCACCTCTCCACTGCAGAGGAAAATGGTGCAAGAGCTGCTGCTCTGCTCTGTAGCTCAACAACTCCAGGGATCCCCAGTCCAATGATGTGTGTCTAGGTTGTTCAGAGGAGGATTTAACTAGATTTCTGAAGAGATGGCACATTCAGGCTGAATGGAGAAGCCAAGTCTCTGGGCATTGCCCTCCTCCTTGCTCACCACCAACAGAAATAGCTGTTTGTAATGAATTGCTCTAGGCTCCTTCTCTCTCCTCCTTCCCCTCTATCAGCCAGGCATCAGGAGCCAAAAACTGGCCTGTGTCCATAGGCAGCAACTTGCAGGCTCCCTGCTGCTACCCTTACAACTAGGTAGCCCCAGAGATGAAGGACTTGATGTGACCAGCATTTCATGAGCACCTTCTGCAATCAAGACCCAGAGCTGTCCCATAAATACAAGGATGGGCAAGCTTGGCCCCTTCTTCCAGGTTCTAGTCATGTTCAGCTGGACATGAAAACATGATCACCCCCTGATTCCTCCCTTAGTTGACATATATATGGAGACAGCTCCACTCAGTTTGTGATGATGGGGCAGGGGAAGACGAGATCATCCAAGGAGAGGCGAGCAGTTGTTTCTGAAGGATGTTTCTAGGTGGATGATGGTTGCAAGGGAGTGAACTTCTTGAGCAATGCAAATGATACGGGGAAGTCACGAGGCTCGAGTTGTGTGGAAGTGGGCCTAGGCCTCAGTAGAGACACATAAGCAAGAACCAGCCCAGACACCAGAAACCGTGCCTCGTGGGTGCAATGGCCCTCTTTTGTTTGACTGTGTGGTTTCATTGTGCTAAGACATGGCATAGGCTCCCCCTCACTTGGCCTGTCTGTCACAGGAAGGAGGCTAGTGGATATGTTTGAGGAATGGACATTAGCAGGTGACACAGGACCTGGGCCCAACTATTATTTTAATTGTGATAAAATTCACATGGCAAAAAATCCACCATTTTAATGTTCACGGTTCAGTAGCATTTATACATTTATGATGTACAACCACCACCATTATCTAGTTCCAGAATACTTTTATCACCCCCAAAAGAAACTCCATACACTCACTAAAGAGTCACTCCCTATTCTCCCCTCCTCCAACCTGATAGCCACTAATTTGCTTCAGACTGGGCTTGCCTATTCTGATATTTCATATAAATGGATTCATACATGTAGCCTTTTATGTCTGTTTTTTTTTTAACTTACTGTAACTTTTTCTGATTCATTCAAACAGGTAGCATGTACGAGTACTTCATTCCTTTTTATGGATGGACTACACTGTATTTCTTTATCATTGGTTGATGGAAATGTGGGTCGGCTCTGCCTTAGGATTATATTGCTAATTGTGCTGCTATGAAAACAAACAACTCATTCACATTAGGCTTCCCACTGGCTTACGATTTTGGCAGTCCTATCCCTGTCCTGGGCCCTAGTACTCATCTATAAAAAACAGGTGGTCAGACCTTAAGTTCCATGCAGCTTGAATGTCATCACCTTCATTTGTTCCTTTGCTTCTCATAGCTACTCAGTTCTGGGAGCTGGAAACCCAGCCTGGACCACCCACCCCAATTTCCAGGACAGAGACAAGCAGCTGCTGTGGTCTGGGGGAAGCATCTAGCACAGGCCTGTCTGGGAAAGGCTAAGCGCACTTGCTTCTTCCTGAAGGTGGGATGGAGGTGGGTGGGGACTGTTAGGAGGCATCCTGGAGTAGATGCCAGCTGTACCCAGGACTTATGCAGAGAAAGGTGACAGACAGGTTTGGTGCAGCAGTCAGAGAAGCCTAAGCTTAATCCATGGTAAGGAGCAGCTGGGAGCTGAAGCTAAGATTCTTGGGTGTGAGGCTGAGCCAACCCAGGCTGTCTACCTTATCTTTGTACCCCGGAAGCCCTCTAAACACTCCTCCCTGTGACCAGGTTCCTACCATCTCCTACAGCTCCCACCCCACCAGATATCTTTGTTGCTGAATCGAACCTGTCCATTCCCACATCCATGCCTTGCTTCATGCTGTTCCTCAACCTAAAATAATCTTTCCAAATTTGCCAAATCTTGCTCATTCTCCAGAGTTCTTCTCAGGCATTACCTCTTCCACGAGCGCTCCCTCATCTCCAGGGAAGAAATGAGGCCTTCTACCGCTGGGCTCCCTCAAACACTGGCTCACACATCTTTGCTCTCCTGCTATAGTTAGCTGTTTATGCACCTGCCTCCCCTGCCTGCTTTCAATGACAATGGGGCATCCTTATTCCCTCCACCACCACTGCATCCCAGGTATTTAGCACAGGGTCTGAGCCTACTGATGGACATAT